CCTAGACTGTATGGGCTCTGAGAGCTGCTTCAAGAATTCCAAATCTAGCTTTTCTTCTTGATGTGGTGGTCTGTAGCAGACCCCCACCACCAAGTTCCTTTCCCCTCAACCTCCATGTATCCTAGCCCACAAAGCCTCAACTTTCTCCTCCTCTGATCCCATTTTGATTAGGGTAGATGTATAATGCTCCTTTACATAGAGAGCAACCCCACCCCCTTTCCTCCCTGCTCTGTTCCTGCTGTACAACCTGTAGCCCTCAATGTGTACCGCCCAGTCATGGGTAGGGTCCGACCAGGTTTCCATTAGTCCCATTAAATTGAAGTTATTGTCTGCAAGCAGAAGTGCGAGTTCTTCCTGCTTGTTCCCCGTGCTCCTAGCATTAGTATAGAGGCCCTCTGAATGGTGCCTTTGGTGTCCCCCCATTCTGATGCCCAAAGGGCCCCTGGATATTTACCTGGGGTGTACTGCTGCATGTCTCACAGTTTGTAGGTTCTAGGCTCTCTCCATCTCCTGCCTTCCCGTCCCCCATTGTACTTAGTTTAAAACCCAACATAGGAGGTCAGCCAACCTGTAAGAAAAGAGACTCTTAACTTTTACAGAGAAATGAAGCCCATCACATCCCAGAAGGTCCCTTGCATGAAAGTGCAGATTGTGGTCCAGGAAGCCAAAACCTGCATGATTGCACCAATTCCAGAGCCGCGGGTTGACTTCTCTGACACAGGAGATGTAATGCCTACTGCAACCGCTGACAGGGAGGATCAACAAAAATACCACCTGCGCCCCCATCTTCCTAAGCCCAGTCCCCAGAGCCTTGTAGTCACTCATGATACGGTCTGAACTACTCCTGGCCGCATCATTTGTTCACACATGGATGAGGACCATGGGATAGTTGTCAGAGGGCCGGATGAGGTCAGGAATTCTCGCCATGATGTCTCTGATCCTGGCTCTGGGCAGGCAGCAGACCTCGTGCACCATGGGATCCAGACAACAGATGGGGTCCCTCTGTTCCTCTCAGCAAGAAGTAGCACACAGCGATGACGTGGCATCTCTTCTTCTGCTTACCTGGCCGGCCCTCAGCTCACTCAGTGATGGCGGCAGGCCCTTCCAGTGCACTTTCCCCACCACACACTCCTCCAGTGCTGCCAGGGCTTCATATTTGTTCCCCAACTGCACGGGGGGAACTGTCTCTGCGGTGAGAGATCTGGCCCCCGAGATGACCATCCTCCACTTACCAGTATCTGTTTCAGGGCATTCCCTCGCAGCTTCTCCGCCAGGAGTCTTGTCCTGCAGAGAATGAAAGTAGCCATCAATCTCTTCTTCAATTGCCCTCATCCCCTGCAGCCTGCTCACCTCTGCCTGGACTTCCCTCACCTGCTTTTCCAATGCCTCAATTCGAGCACATGTGGGACAGGCAAGGGAACCCCCGGCCCCCACACTACCCCCAGGCCTCAGAGGTCCCACCAGGCGACCCCTGCAGACAGGGGGCCAGGGCACTGCCAACCCATCCAAGGGGCCTGTCTGGGTAGAGGCCTTACAGGAGCTCCAGGCCGGAAGCAGTGGCAGGGCAGGGGCCCTGGCTGCGTTCCGTGTTACCACCCGCATAGTAGCCCCTCTCCTCATTCACTTACCCAAAGCCTCTGTCAGAAGCTCCTGTGCAGTCCTGCTCATGACTGGCCTGCGAACTACCTACAAATTGCTCCCCTGTTGGCAGTCCCAGTTCACTGGCTTCCTGATCACAGGCTCCCTGGTCGCCTGGGGAGTCTCCTTTTATACCCTATGTTACAGAACATGCATTTTCTTATAAATATAAGGGGACATTGTCAAAATTAGTAAATTGCAGCGTTAAGGTTTGTTGTTATAGTTGTGTTCATATCATTTACTACAGCTCATTTGCTTTTTTTATCTCTCCTTTTCAAGGATATTTATTAAGGCTGTGCAAAGTTTCAGGTGGTGATTCGATTCAGAGGAGATTTGGCCCAATTCAGTGGCCAAATCCCCAAATCCAAATTGAATCAGGGAACCAGTTAAAAGGTCTGAATCGATTTGAAGCTCTCCAAATCTTCAGAAAAGATTCGGACAGCTTTGATAATTCGGACAGTCCCCGGTGGCTGCAGCAGGGAACTGCAATCCAACTAAGAGCTGGTAAATAGGGGTGGGGGAGGGGACCATGGGAGGACCCCTGTCAGGCCCCATCCCCTGCCTGCATCCCCAGCCCCCCCTAACCCCCGCCTGCTCCCCCAGCCCACCCCAGCTCCCAGCCCTTTAAAAAAAGCCCCAACTCGCAGGGTGCTGCCAGGCAGGGGGGCAATCCCTGCTGCTCTCTACTGCCCCACACTGCATGGGGAGCTCTGCCACAAGGCCCCCAACACTCCCCCACAGCCCCGGCCCTTTAAGAAAAAAAAAACCCCAAAATACCCCTTTGACTCACCACTTCTGCAGCAGCCTTGGGACTTTGGGAGGCTTGTGCAGAGCTCCCCATGCAGCAGGGGGCAGCGGGGATTGCCTGCCCCCTGCCAGGCAGGAATGGTGAGTGCGGGGGTTTTCTGGTTTTCTTTTCTTAAAGAGCCGGAGCTGCGGCAGGCAGGGCAGCCATGGGATGGGTGGGGGCTCATGGAGAGCCCCCCCATGCTGGGGCAGTGAGGGGCAGTGGGGATTGCCCCCCTGCCCACAGCACCCAGTTAGCCGGGGCTTTTTTTCCCCAGGTGCCGGGAGCTGGGGTGGGCAGGGCAGCCATTGCCAGGCTGAGAGAGCGGGCAGGAGATGGGCCTGCCTGATTTGGAGATTTGGCAGCAGCCAGATCTCTGAATCAGGTTCAACCAAATTGATTCAGGACGGTGATTTGAATTACCAAATCGAATCACTGTTCCCCAAAAAGGCCAAATCTGAAGCAAATATTAGCCACTTCACACAGTCCTAATATTTATACCGTATTCATTATCTGTGCACCTTATCTATTCCAAAAGAATGTTGTACATGAATGTGATCAGGGAAGTATTGCAAGGACACAGGACCCTTTACATTTGAATTCCCAAGTGTTGAATACTTGTTTGCTTTAATACCTTTTAATGTTATTACTTAATTATGGAAGGGCAGATGTAAAATAATAACTGAGATTACATTAGCAGATAGGTTAAATATTGATCCTAGTCATCATGCTAGTATTCTTTTAAGTTGCCTCAACAAATTACCATAACAAACCTTATTTCTAAAACCCAAATCACATTGTATGTCTTCCAGTAATAATGGCAAGTTGTACCTTTACCAGATAAGGTGATGAAGAATTCCTTGTGATTTATTTCTCCTTAGTAGAATAATAACTGACTCATTTTCTATAGTTACTATCCCTGCATCCCTTCTATTTCTAATTTTTCCTTTTTTTAATGGGTGACCAGAAGTGACTGCAGTGTATAAGGTAAAGACCTATTGTTGATTTGTATAGCAACCACGCTGTTTTCGGTATTACTACCTATTGCATCCTAACATTTTATTGTTGTTGTGCCTGCATTACATATTAAGCCAGAGTTTTCACTGAGGGCCCCCTGCACCTTCCCCCAGCAACAAGGAAGGTTCTGATGCTTTCTTTGACTGGTTAGCTCTGAAGCCAATCTAAATCCATGTATGAGTTGTGCAGATGAATTTGTTGTCTTATATTGTCCAACATCTAGTTGTATATACCAGGAATTGTCAACCAGGGGTACGCATACCCCTGGGGGTACTTGAGAAGCCCCTAGGGGTACGCATGGGCAGGCAGGAACAGAGTGCCATCATGCATCATCCTGCGCAGGCACTGCCCACCTGGCCAGACGCGGGGACCAGGGGAAGGTTGCTCTGCATTCAGCCACGTGCCACTACCTCCCTGCTCCGCATCCAGCCGCTGGAGGTACACTGACCCAAAAAGGTTGAAAACCGCTATTATATACAAACCTGTTGCTCATTCACATATCTGTGTTATGTTTCCTCTAAAATTTTCCAATCTTGAAAACTGTTACTGTACTAAGTAATTTTATCTGGGTTTTATCAGCACCATTTCCACCTTACAGATAGGTAAGACAGTCATTGCAAAAGCCATCTGATAACTTCTTGCCATGTTGAAAAATAGCCACATAGTTCTATTTGTTTCCTGTATCTATCCTACAATAGAACTTTACCTCCAAACTACTTACTTAATTTCTTCAGTAGGTTCTTGAGAGGGTCCATGTCAAAGACCTTTTGATATTTCAGATAAATTATATTAGACACCGGACTAGAAGGGACAACCTGAGTCATCAGATCCAATTTCTGGTATCACAAGCAACTCATCAGTTTTCCTTGATAGAAAACTGTAAACATAAAAAGATTATTGTATATCACAGTATAATTTTCCTTTATACATGCAATGGTCATTTGTCTTCATCATTTTGTGTTTGTTTAGGTTTTGCCACCCTGCAATTCTCTATTATCTTAGGTGATTGTAATAAAGAAATGTATATTTTTGTTAACAGCTCAGGCACTTAGTTCTTCAGAACTCTTGTCTAACTATCATTTGGCCAAAGTAACTTATTGCTAATTAAGTATCAATTTGTCCTGGCACATTCTTTTTGGCACTGAAGATGATTATAATCCCAGGGAGCTCCTTCTCTGCCAGCCGCCATAAAAAAAAAAAGCCCTGACTGGTACAGAGCCACTAACCTAAAATACCTGTCTGAAAAGCATGCAGGGAGCCACTGTTGAGTGTTCCACAGGCAAGCTTTAAAGCCATAGAATTTCTGCTGGGTTTCATACTAGCAGCATGAACCCATGAGTGCAGTCAGAGAGACTAGTATTTATGAAGAGAGATATTTAAAGACAGACAGACAGAGAGGATGTCTAGATTAGTGAAAACATTTTGTAGTTTCCTAACACATTAGAGACATCCAGGTTTTCCTATTTGACCATTTACTTGTATTCTTCCATTTGACAACTTAGAAATGGTAGCTCCCATGGTAGTTTTCTCTTTACACAGTTTAATGTTTCTTTGGCAGGTCTTGGAACATATTTGACAATACACGTCAGGATCCCACAGGGCTAACTGCAGTTCTTCAGGCTACAGATCTGGTTGGAGTCTTGCATATGCTATACTGTATTCTTTTCCACGGAACAATTTCAGACTCAAATACAGCAAGTCCTAAAGAGAGTTATGCAGAGAACACAATCCAGGTTGCTATTCAGAGTTTACGCTTCTTCAATAGCTTTGCAGTTCTTGATCTGCCAGCCTTTCAGGTACAGACTTTGTTTTATTTTAACTCATGGTTAATCTTAGAATGTTTATTGTTGCATACATTTTCTTTTCTTTCAGCTTTGACTATGCATTCCCTTCAAGGTCAGATATTTACAATTAACTTACGGAATGGCTACAAATAAAATAAAAGCTGTGTTGGTCAGATTTGTTCATACATAGAATTGCTGTTTATTAATATTACTTTCATTATGTCACTGTTGGAAATAAATGCTATTAACTTTTATGTGAGAAAGGCACATGCAGAATACACAAATTTAAATATGCTATATAACTTTTTCTGTTCATAAATATTAATTTTGACACTTGTTAAAGTTTTATATTTTAAGTCTACAATGTTAAAAGTGCTTTGAAGCTTTCTGTATCAAGGTCCACACACAACAATTTCTCTTCTTTTACTTACAAGATTTACTTATAAGATAACTGAACTTGGGGGTTGCTTAGGTGCCCTAAAATGACAGTTGCATTATAAAACCTGAATATAAGATTGTGCAACTGAACCAAAAAGAATCTACACATGCATGTTTTGTAGCTAGGGATATCATTTCTTTTGAAATTTAACTTTCTAAAATACCTTAAATATTGCCCATTTTTTATTTATGCAAGCCACAACAATTCTCAAAACTATTTGAGATTTGTTTAGTATAAAAAGTATTTCCTTTTAAAAGAAAATAATACTTCTTCTAGAAAGTAATCCATAATGTAAACTAATCTGTTTGCCAGATTAGGAAACAATATTAAAATATTCCATGCACAGATGAAAATCTGTTACTACAAGGCAAAGAAATTGAAATAACATTGCTTTATCAAGCTTTTGTGGTAGCACCAGTCTCTTTCAGTTTGTTAAAAGAAGTTTTTGATGCCAGCCAACATATAATGGACAATTTTTCCACAAATCACATTGTATATCATGGACTTATTTATGCACCATGCTAAAATCAGCAAGAACTTTACATGAGGGAAGAATGTGTGAGAAGACTCTCCTACCTATTGTTGACAGAGTAGCCCTAATCTGGTAACTGGTTTTATGTAGGCCGAGCTTTCATCCACATGGATCCAGTACACAGAACCAAGGCTTTTTTTTAATTTTATTGAGTAACAGAGAGGTGAGGAAGGGAGGCAAATTAGAAGTTATTTCATATATAAACCATGCATCTCTACACAGCTAAGCAACTTCCCTTTCTATATTTCAAAAGGAGTGCCTTTGAAATAGGACCCTTCCCTGGCATGTTTTGAAATTGTTGCTGTCAAAGCTGGATGATTATTTGTTAGTGTTGATACAGTTATGCAAAAAGGGACAGACCTTCAGCTGATATAAATGTCAGAGCTTGTCTAGCAGTCAGTGGAGCTTTGACAGATTGCACCAGCCAAAGTTCTGCCCCTTGATTTCACTTGAAAGCATTATATTTTTAAAATCCCTATTTCCATTGTACAGTATATTTATTCTTATGACAAAATAAAACAGAAGGATCTTCTTATGCTGTGTGTATCTGTCCAGCTGCCAAGTATCACAATATCCTCGCAGCAGAAAGTATCCTTAGTATTGGTCATCATTGGTCCTCCTTTTTGTTTCCTATGTTGGTTTGTACTGTGTCAAGTTGTGTATGACAGAAATGATTCCATTAAGTATAACTGACTATGAGTGACCATGTGAATCAGAATCATTTGGTTCATTAACAGGTCTCAGTAAAATAAATCATTTGCTTAACTGGTTTGCTGAATTAGGGACCTTGGGCCTTTGTACATGCCACAAAATTGGCTTTTAAAGTGACTTAAATGCCCTTTTACACCGCTTTAATGGTGTTGCTGTTTGCACGCTCAGCAGTGTATTCCTCTTTAAATGACTGGTACATAGCAAGAAAAAACACCTCCAAGGTGTTTTAGTTTGCTACCTAACAAAGTGCAACAGTGAATGGGACGCTGGAAGCCAACATGCTCAGGGCTTGTTGGGTCCCACGCAGCTCAGGGGCTGAGACACCCAGCGGCAGCCTATGCAGGTAGGCTGTACTGAAGAAGAAAAAAAAAGCAGCGAGTCTGATTTTTTTTTTTTTTCTCTTCTCCCCGAAGCCTGCCTGCCTGCCTGCCTGAGCTGTGTGGGGGCCCGGTGCTTCCCTCTGCAGCTGAGGTGGGGGCCATTGCTTCCCTCCGCAGCTGTGGTGCCCCCAAGACCTCCCGGGCCAGGTGCCAGCAGCCGGGTGCTGCTGGAGGGGGGGGCCCTGCACAGCTCAGGGACTGCTCAGCCCACTGGCAGCTTGCCCCTTCAAGCTCCCCCCCACCACCACCGAAGAGGCAGGTAAGGATCGGGCCCCCGCCCTTGTGTACACGCCACAGGGGTTTAGCTTGGTTTTATTCTTCCTAAATTGAAGCGGTGTTTTTAAAACCCCACCATTTCAATTTCGGCAGAACTAAACCAAATTAAACCCCCATGGTATGTACAAGCAGCCATAGTATTGTTTTTGATTTGTATTAGTATTGATTTGATTAGTACTGTTTCTTTCATTTTGAGCTGTTTCTTTAATGTTAAAGGGCAACAAACACCTGAAGGAGATCATTGTCCTTACCAATTCTTGTGAACCATAGGAAAGTACCAGGCAGCAAATGAAATGGAGTTTATATATTGCCTGATGATTAGCTTTCCAAAATAGTTTCATCATGGTAACAGTAAGATTATACAACAGTTTTCTGGTTAAATAAGGATGTCTACTTCCAGTACAATGCAAATTAGTATCAGTACAGATAATCCTTTGGCTCATGAGTAGATCTTTTATTTAATTTGAGCGTCTAAACAATTGAAAGATGATAGTGAGAAACAACACAGGATACTAAACTGCTATTAATTCTGGCTAAAGAGGAAGCATAGTTTCCTTGAAAAATTAGTTTAACTTTTATACACAAACTCATGTGCCCTTTGACCTGTTGTTATCAGAGAAAGTTAAACACAGAGGACTAGGTCACAGCATGCGTGGACATGACTAATTAAATAAGGGCTAGGCACAAGAATATATCACTGCATGATGTAAAGTAGCAAATGGCTACTATGTTATGTGTTGAAGCTTGAAAGTAGGATACCTTATCAGAAGGTATTAAGTTTGGGAATAGAAGGTATCCGTTACTGATTCTTTTTTAATCATTAAGAATTCTAGTTTTCTGGGCTGAATGTTGTTTATGCTAAAACCCAACTCTAACACACTTACATTTATACATATATACTTCACACAGACTAGGAGATATGAAATCAAAAAAACTTTCCGATGCAAGATATTTTCCCAGAGGCCTGCAATGCTGCTTCATTAAAAGACTGAAATGCTCATGCCTTATGCCTCAGTTTTCCCCTTTGACCTTATGTCGCTCTATCTGCTTGACATGTTTATTAAATAGAGGCTGTAGGCTGCACAGATAAAATCTAATTCTCCTGAATCTCCACATTACAATTTGCCTAGTTTCAGAAAGAATCCCCAAAAAGACATGCAGCTGAGGGTTCTCTTCTTTAGAATGTTTCTAACTTTTGAAAATGTTTATTTGAAATTATTCGACTTTATTTATCTTCCTTTTCCATTCAGGACACACAAGTTATTAGTGATAAATGTATTTTGCTCTTGCAAAAAATTAGGGATGATTTGTTTTTCTTTGCTTATTACTGAGACATATTATTAATGTTAAGTTTTCCTGGAACATGTGCTGCATATCTATTGAAATAGGCCACTTAAATGCTAAATAGTATGCCAACTAAGAGTCCAAAATTTTCTTAGTCCCTTTAAAAATTAAAATTCAGTCTGATTTACAGTGGCATTTAAAATTATAATTAGAGCTGCGCTGCTAATTTATTGAATTAATAGGGGGTTTTTTTGTTGTTGTTGCTGTTTATCAGAAACTATTGTGACAGTCAACATTGTGACTAAAATGTTGCTCAAATATTTCGTAAGATCCATATTTGGTGATAATCCTGAAAAGTGGGTAACTGGTTATTTTAAACTGTCCTTACTTCATTTAGACCCTATAATATATGGCTAGATTATGATTGGGTGTTTTCTGTCAGTCTGTTGTAGGTGCCGAGGGACTTTCCCTTGCATTCCGCCATATTATCAGCTCTTTGCTGTCATACTGTTCCCAGCACACCTGTGAAGGATTGCTCCATGAAGTCATTGTTTGTGTTGGATATTTTACTGTAAACCACACAGATAATCAGGTAAGGGAACCAAAAATGTGATGTGTATGTACTTATGTCTTGATCATACAAATATGTTAGTGCCATTGAAACCACTGACTCTTTGTAAATGTAAACATATGAGTATACATAGGCATATTGACAGTAAGAGCCTACATTAGGACAAAAATATCTGCTGGTGGTAGTTAGCAAGTGAAGACCAAATGAGCAATGGAAAAGGGGCAACATGCATTTTAGATGCTTTTACTTTATACAGTTATAGGCAAATTTGATCGTCCTGTGTATGAGATGTTGGTAACACTGACCATATTGCTGTGAAAACACAATAATTATTGACAAGGTTTTACTGTCCGTAAGAATCCTGCATTTTATATTCATATGGATTTTTCTTGGGTCCTTTCATCTGAGGTGGAAGTTTGTACCAGAGTGAAGGCTATGCAGTCTGTACTATGTGGATATGCCCTTAGATGACCAGGGACATCTTGATCATGTAAACCATGATCTTATGTTAGGGGTGGCCAGACTGAGACACACATGCCACAAGTGGCTTAGGCAGTAGGGGTGTGCGAAGTGGACCCTATTTTGATTCAGCCCAAATCAGGGACAGCGATTCGATTCGTTGATTTGGATTACTGTCCCCGATATGATTAGGCCGAATCCAAATCTGAAGATTCGATGCTGATTCGAAGAATCAGCGATTCAAACATAGACACAGCTTTAAAATTTTTTTCTATATACCTTTAGGTAACAGGCGCAGCTCGTGAACGCTGCAATGCTGGGGCTCATGGAGCGTCCCACAGGAGTGCAGAGGGGCCCTCCACATATTGAGTGGTGAACCCGAAAGTGGATCGGAAGTACTTCCAGTCCACTTCCAGGTCTGCTGGGGAGTGTGCGGGGGGCCCCCTGCACCCCCCTGGCTCAGTAATCGGCCACAGGGGGACCCCAAGTGCCCACCCCCAGACCCAGGAGGCACCAGTTGCCGAGCCAGGGGACACAGGGGGGCCCCCTGCGTGCTCCCCAGTGGACCCAGAAATGGACTGGAAATGCTTCTGGTCCTCTTCCAGGTCTGCTGCCAAGCCTGCTGGGGAACCCCCTGCGCTTCTGTGGGACATTCCATACGCCCCAGCATCGCAGCACTCACAAGCCCCTGCTACCTAGAGGTATGTAGAAAAAACATTTAAAACTGTGTCTATGTCTGAGTCTCTATGAATCAATTCAGAGGGTTCCGATTTGATTCGGAGAGATTAAAGGGTTCTCTGATTCGATTTGGATTCAGAGATTTGATCACCGAATTGGGACAAATCTCTGCCAAGTCGAATCAGGGACCGAAGCTTCGCACAGCCCTATTAAGCAGCCTATGTGTGTGGTACATGGCAAATCAGAGTGAGGGCAGGGAGTACAGCTGCAGATAGGGCAGGGAGCAGAAAGCAGAGCAGCAGAACAGACAGAAGAAGGAAATCAGTGATGCTTGTGGCACACTTGCCAAAAAAGTTGGCTCCCACTGTCACTACATGGTGCTTCACTGGCAAAAAAACTTTACATTAAAACCGTGAAATCCCCTTTGAGTATTAGAATGGACTTGGCATGCACTCATTAGATAAAAATGCTTACAAAATAATCAAGATGCATAACTTTGGGACTATTTGGAGTCAGATTCAGTCCTGTTTTACAGCCCATCCAATATCCTGCAATCTCCTTATCTTAGAGGAACCCAGGATGTAGACTGAGGCAAACTATGGCTCTTGCTCTTTATTTTTGAATGCCTGTGCCTGCCTTTCCGTGGGCAAATCCAGATGAGCGCGGACATTTGCTTCCCTGAGGACAAGTAGCAGCGGCACACCTTGTGCCGCTGCTACTTGTCCCCAGGAAACGTCCGTACCATGTACATGGCAGGTTACCCGGGGTGGGATAGGGGAGGCTGGGGCCAGCAACTGTGTGGGTCCCAGCAGCCTTACCTGAGGTCCTGGGGGCCTCCTGGGGCCAGTGTGTGGCTCCAGCCAGCCAGGCTCCAGTTTTGAGAAGTCCACACTGCTGCCATGTCTGCTGCCCCACTTTTTTTCAGCATGGGTTATTTTGACCCCAGGACTCTTTGCAGCACCACATACTGCACATCCGCACTCATCTGGATGCAGCCTATGTGTGCATAGAAGCTGTATTATGTGGCATCATTCTCTGGGATTAGTGTACTTTATGTAAAGTTATTTGTCTTTTTAGATCTGTCTATTATTTAATAAACTTGTTAATTCAAATGAAGAAGTTTTAATCTCCTCCGTAAATAGAAGAACAAAAATAAGTACTTCAGCTTGTTTCCGTGTAAGTTAAGAAAACCATTTTGAGCTGTGATGGCAGGGTTGTCAGCTGCAATTTCAGCATTATAATATCTTAGGGCTGACAATGCAGTAAAAACAATATTATAACTTCAGTGGTTTTGGCTGCAGCTTCAATGAAGTTGCTGCAGCACTGCTACTGTGTAAAGCTGAATCCTAGCTCAGGATCCAAAAGCTGCCTGGCACAGGTCCCTGAGAACATAGACTCCGTTGGGGTCCAGTGTTTAACAGGGTCAGTCTAACACCGTTTCAGGAATTTGATTCAGTATTAAAGTCCTTTGAAGCAGACATCCAGAAGCCACTCAAAGACATACTGTTCCTTTACCCAGACTTCCTGCAGGCAATATTTTTGTAAGGCATTTGTTTTGAGAACCCCTGGGGTATTGCAGAGCTTTCTCGATTCCCACTGCAATACAGCTGGTCTAGTTGGCATGCAGAAGTACCACTGAACTCTTCCTTTTCTCTGCAGCTTAAGAATCCTTTTTTTTTTGGCGCAAAGAGTAAACAGATGTGATTCATGCACCATTATATTGTCAGTAATAATGCAGAAGAGTGACATCCTTCCAGAACTGTCAGTTGTAGCGCTCTGTAATACCCATTGCTGTTTAGCACTAGTGCCCCGGGGCAAAGGTCTGTCCATCTTTTGAGTAGGCACAGTGCCATCTTAGCAGATGGCCGTGGTGAATGTAGGTAGCCGAGATAAAAGCATATGCATAAAAGTATTTGTCTGAGAGCACAATTCCCTGGTGGTAATGTTGCAATGTCTCTGTCTTCAACATCTGCATTTTTGGGTAGGATTTTGTGCCATCACTAATCTACCCCTGAACTGGATTAATTTTCAAGATTAAAAATTACTTCCTCAGTTACATAAGACAAGTTTAAATCCTGGCTGAAGCAGAGCAGTGCTAGCATAGCAGAAATGCTCACGTGACCCTGTCAGATTCTAACAAATCTGCAAACTCTGCTAACTACTCATCATCCACAATCTCAGACAGGACCTGAGAAGCAGTAGTAGTAGTCAGGTGTTAGAGGCCAAACAGAATAGTAGACTATTTTAGTGTTACTCTCTGTAATACAAATGATGATTTGCATTACTTAGAAATGTGTTACTGAATGTTTGACTCAGAAAAATGTCATTTTGTATTGAATATCTTGCCTTTTTTCCTCCAAACATCATTTTTCTTGAGCCAAGGACCATATAGTGCATCTTCTGTGCATTCTCCCTCCCTTTCCACCTGCCCTCATTGAAGCTGTAATTGCACTTCTCCTGCCATGTTGGCAGAATGTTGGGGAGGCTGGACAACAGGACTTTTCTTGTACTTGTGAACTGACACTGCATATAAAAGGATTCCACCTTTTGGTCCATAACATAATATTATTAAGATATTCCACTAGGTTGAAACCAAGTTTTGCTTTTATTGCCATAATTACTCTTAAAATTGGTTTCTTGGTTTTTTTACTTAAAAAACTATCTATAGATGTTTTTAATGGATTTTTTTTCCTAGAGAACTCTGATACACACACCCCTTGCTCTGAGGCCATTTTTGTATGCTTTCAATAGAAAGCATTCTTTAAGTTGGACCCTTCAGGTTTTAAACCCTTCTGGCAGTTACCTAACTGTATTTTGGTATTAAAGATTATAACTGAGTTTCTTTTTCTTCCTTTTTAAGTTTTTTCTTTCTTTCTTTTTATATGTTAGTAATAGGACTTCCAGGATTGATATGACCTTTTCCATGATAAAAGAGTTATTTTTTATTCATTCATTTTAAATTAATTGATTACCACTACTTTAGTGGTTGTTTCCAAGCTTCCTTTTTTGCCTCTGAGTAGCTATACTAATAACAATAAATAAATCAGAGTCCTGCAGTAAAAATCTCGCAGCAAATGCTCCAGAACAAGAGACTTAAGCCTCCTAAATGATATTTGGAGATCTAACTATGTGCGCCAGACTTCACCTAGGAAGCCAAATATCCCTTGGTTCCTGGTAACTGTTTTTATATATTCACTGAGAAAATTAATGTTGCCATGATGGGGCTCTTTGACTTGACTATTTTTAAATCAGCCTCCTGATTATTCCAGCAGTCAAATAAGTGTTTTTTTGGTTTGTAGCTTAAATTTGTCTTTCCCTCTGAAGATTCTTAGTCACTAGCTATTGCATTTAAATTCCCTGCAAGCTCATGAACAGAGAGCATAGGAATAATAAGTCTTTGTGCTTTCGCATGCATGCCCAAAAGTGCAGACACTGCACACAGGGTGATGTGATGGGATAAAGAAGCAGTAGTGTTGCTACTCAGAATTTTCAGAAGACTTGAAATATCTGCCTGGTGAATATCAGTTCAAAGGTGTGATATTTTTCTGCTCTTATTATTATTAAATATTTGTCACTTAATAGCTCCCAGGAGCTCCAGCCAAGAGTGAGTTTCCTTCATGATGGGTTCTCTGTTCATACATAAAAAGACAATGGTCAGTGTCTTGTTCAGAAACTCACCACAAAACTTCTTTATTTTGCTCCATGCACCTAAATGATAACAATAAGCAGTGATCGAGACAGTATATTTGCATCACACTTCCCAATGTTTGGACCATGCTTGCTTCACTTATTTTAAAATAATGATAACTTTGCTGACTCTGTCCACATTTATTATAAATGTGATAATTTTTTTTATTCATTGTTTGTTTTAATTTTCATAAAGT